AGCGATCGTAAAGATCACAAGCATTCCTAAAAGTGACAAAAAAACAAATCTTGTTATGTTGACTAGACCGCTAATTGATCTTTTATGTTGTCTTGTTACATCGTATATGCACCGACAACATTTATTGACGATCTTTTATCTTTGGCATACATTTTTCATTAGAAAATAACGAAAATTCTATATTGAATATCTTCCTGTGATGGTAAGAAATTTTGATTATGAAAACAAATAAATCAACATACGTATATCAACGAGTATATTCTTGAATAAGTTTGTTGATTCATTAGAAATATTTTCTTTTATTCGTGAAATTTTGATTATTCAGTGTCATTTAAGATGTAAGACACTGAAACTATATGACATGTACTCTGTCATTCTCATGATATGAATTTGAATCAATTAGTTGATTTTCAGTACTATCATCAAATTTAACTATTTTTGTTTTCCTTTTAGTTATTTTTCATTAGGTTTTGTTTTTCGGTAAATCTAGACACTGTAAGTACATTACTTTTATCTACCATGGTATGATCAACATCGAAATAAACTTTCCATTTTAGAAGAAATTAAATATTTTTTCTCCTTACCTGTTTATCAAGAATAGCTTCGACTCGAAATTCAAGTTCTGCAATTCATCTTTCCTCGAATAATATTCAACAGAACGTTTTCTTCCAGAAGGTATAAACATTCTTAGCTATTGTTCTTCTTTTCTTATTCTTACTAACTAAAATTAATTTTCAAAAGAAAAAGGAGAATTTTAGAAAAAAAAATGACTTTATCTTTTGCAACATGATATTTGACTACACGTTATTTCGCATAGATTCGTACAATTTCGCCATCACAACATGTATTTGATCACTAAAGATCATTTATCTCTTGGTAAGTTATAAAAAACAAGTTAATTCGCGGCGATGCAGAGTACGAAATCATTTTTCTCTCAATTCTTTTCATATCAGAAAGATTTTTCTTATTACAAACTTACCAAGAGGTAAATAATCTCTACGGATCAAAACAACATGTTGTGATGAAGAAAATGTGCAGGTTGATCGCAACATCGACTTGCCAGAGCAACACTTTCATTTATAAATCAAGAAAAATTGTAAGAGATTATGTTGAATAGAGAAACATTTGCGTGACAAAATACTCAACTGTTGATGTGCACTGATATATGAAGTTAGCAGACCCAATGTCTCATTCACAAGAAGGAACGATAATGTGATTATCTCACAACATGGTTGTTTTTAGTCGCCAGAAAAAGAAATCATGTATCCAGATGAAAAGATGTCATTTGAGTTTTTCTGATGTTAAATCAATCAACTTGTTGCCAATAGTCATCGAAATTTTCACAACGTCGAGCGTTTAGTAAACTATGTTGAATATCTGCTGAAACAATGAGTGCTACTCTAATTGAAGATTTTGTTGGCCATTCAATAATGATACTGATATATTCATGTCGTGGATTAAGATAGTCAATGGATTTATTAAACTAAATGATCCAATAAAGAATTTCGTATGTTTCTGTACATGAATTATTGGATGGTAAGATTGTAATGTTTGAATAACTGACGTTTCACTAGAATAAATTCTCAAAATAGCTGTTTGGAAAGATACGGAATAAGAATCAAAGTCGTGTATCATCTATAATGCCAAACTGAAAGTAAATAGTATGTTGTATATTTAAGTCTTTTAATGCACATTTTCTCCTCCAGCATCTGAACGTTCACTATTCACATTGTAGGCAACTATAATCAACTATCTAACATTTGCTTAACATAGTAGTATGTTATAGCTACATCAGCATGTCGATTTCGAATCAAATATGTTGCACATCGTAGAACTGAATAAACCAAAATCTAAGCATTTCTTCAACGGAACGAAAGATAACTTGAGTCATACAAGAAAGAATAATATTTGATATGCACTTTACTACTACAAGGCAGATTGATAATTAATTTTTTGTTGCTAAATACCGCAAACCAGTCTAGATAGAAAAGATAGAATGAATTTCACCTCTAAAGCATAGTCATGTGAATAATTGCTAATGACTTCACAATCATTCTTTGTGCTAAACCAAGAATTGTCTTTGTAATAATGCTGTGTGAGTGTATATCTTCTTCCACACATTCCCACACCCACACCCCACCCTCAATTATCATGCCAATAATGCTCGCTTTGGGATTCATCAATGAAATATTGTTTTAATTGGTTCTAGTTTATATATTCTAATTTCATCATGGAATTCTTTATATATATAACTACTGTATTATTCTTCAAGTTTTTCCAATTATTTATATCATAAATGTTAATTCTTACGAATTTTGGGGGTGGGTGTGAGTGTGGGTGAAAGAAGACAGACACCCACACCCGTCGAACAATCTATAGTTTTTTTCAACCTTTTTACATACAATAGAACGATCTGAGAAGGTCATTTTTGTTTCTATAGAGTTTATTTAATTACATTTTTCTAAAGTTTCGAATTATTGTCGATTAGCTGTTCTTCTTCATCTTCTTCTTCAATCGAAATTATAAGTATCAAATGAATATTGCAATACTTTTACGACAATTAAAAGTAGAAAAATAACTTTTGTTGAATCCAAAACATTATCCATTGGTCAATGTGTTGTTTATCTGCAAGCAAATACTCATATAGTATAAGACTACTTCATGAATTTTATTCTGTCGATAAATTACTTGATCTATTTGTTAATGCAGAAATCTTAACAAAAGAATATGTTAATGTAAAGTGTACGATAGAATTTCTTTTTCTTTGTTTCTATAATTCTAGTTTTACAGTGAAAGCTTTCTTCGTGTTTTTACAATATCTACTAATCGTAATAAAATAGATGCAAGTGTTCGTAAATCAACACTGGTACGAATGACGATAATGTTTCTTGAAATTGTTTGAAACTTAACTCATGCATTAGTATGCCTACTTTTTGATCGAAGTTCACACATAACTTCATTACTTGATAAGTAAGGATTCATTCATTTTAAGATGAATTTAAGTAGTTAAGAAAGATTTGTCGGATCACAAACGATCTAGAATATAGAACACACATTTGATCTATATTTTGAATTATGTTCGACAAAGTAGTATACTCATCTATTTTCGAAACTAACATTGATAACTGACGCAATGAATGTTTTACATAATATTTTGCAACAAAGTAATGAACTTTTAGGTCGTTGGTTTAATTTTTTTATCTATATCAATAGAATTAAAGAAAAAAACCCAATCTTGTTTTCATTTCAAACAATATTACTAAGACATATTCTTTCATCAGGAAATATGTTCGTTCCGATTGCCATTTTGTTACTCAGTCGCTAGTTGCCAAATTCACAGAGATACTGTTCGTTTGTTTCCTTTAAGAATAATCATATTCTACACATTATATGTTGAATTATGATTCATTGAATGTTTAAGAATCGCAGTAGCAAAAAATGGATAGAATGGTTTTTCTCAAGATTCATATGATCGATATAAAAAAAAGTTTTACTCTATTTAGATGTGTATGATTTCAAATTATAGAAATGCTTATTCATGCTAAAAACATTTATCTCGTTTCGCATAAAAAAATAATTTATTCGAAACTCCTTCGTTGAACAAAAAAGAATCGAATTTTAATATCACATCTCAATGTTCCACCATCGTTTTCACATCTGATGTATGATTAGAAAAAAAGATTTGACAATTCTTTAATTTAATCGAAAGGTGTCGTTCTAGTAGG